CACTACACCCCACCCGACAAATAAAGAAAAGAACAGGGGGAGGATGGAAAAGAGTGAGTCGAACACCACAAAACAATATGGGTTGGCCAAAGTTTGAGACACACTGCTCTATATCATAATATATAGAAGTGCTAGTATATATTAGTGCTAGTACATTATGGTGGATAATGACACATTAGCTATGTTGTACAAAATTCATCCAATATATGTCATGTTCTGCAGTGCAAGCTTAGTTACAGCAATTGTTTTTAAACATACTTTCCCCCCTGAATAATAGAGATTGTGCAGCCATGTGTAGTTGTCATGGTACAAATATGACAGAAATAGAAAGGAGGGCAGTTATATATTTCAGGGTTTTAAGGATGAGTATAATGGGATCAGATTGTTCAAGACTAAATATCATGGGAGCCTACAGCTTCTGCTGCCTGTCCTACTTCCTTTGATTCACAGCAAGGATGGGGGGTGAACATGTCCTCCATATGTCTTGCAGAAGAATAACAAGCTGTAGAGATGGGTGACATTAACATGTGTGAAAGGGAGTGAGGGGGAGGAGGGTAGATGAGTTAATGGAAGTACTCTGATAACACAGTTCAGGCACCAGGTTTATGATGAACTGTAGAAATTCTGTTCTAATAAATTTTAGTACAGTAGGAAATGGCAAAGCAGTGACCTTCATTCTGTGTTCCATGGATTCAGAAGATCAGAAACAGCATGCAGGTTTTGAAGAGGTCCAAGTACATATGATGGCAATATACTCTATGAAGCATTTTAGTGTTCAAAAGCATCAGTTACAAATATGAATAACATGGGATTGTTAGTACTATCGTAGAAGCAATTTTATGGGATTAATATCAAACCTAGCCTCAAAGTTAAGGAGATGCTGAGAAGATTGGCTAGTTAAAAAAAAAAAGTCTTAGAACAAGGAATGGCAAGCTACTTCCTTAACATAATCCATAAAACCTCATGGATACAGTCATTATCAACTGGACCTGAGTGCTTATTTGTGCCACAAGGTAGTGGTACTTGGGCTTGGAGCTAAACAAGGTCAGGATTAGCTAATACTTAGACAGAAGACTGCCAGGGAATACCAAGGGTGAAGGATAGACTGGGAAGTTGAAAGACTATCCCAGAAGAAGGCAGTGCTAAATCTACATTGCTGGCAAGAAAAGTGCATGTACAGTACATGTATATGTCATCACCAGGAGTCAAGCCCAACTTAGATGACTTTTCCTTAATAGCAGGTATGTAAGAAGAGCAAATTTTAACCAAGACTATGATGAAAGAGGAAAGATTGATATTTCCCCCACACTATAGTGGTCACAAATAAAATTGCCCCACTCGTGCCTTTCTTGAATTGCTTTATAAAGTAACGGGGTTTTTAGTGCTGTATTACACATCCTATATAATTTGGTTTTTGTTTTCACAGTGACCATTCTTATATTTATTTTGAGACGTGTGGTCAACAGATCAATGGGGAATGAATGACTTGATGGCAGAAAACATGAAAGCTACTGTAGGGTGGAGCTGTAGACTGAGATTGGTTTTTACAGAATTGTTTGTGTCACTATATTATTTGTTTTAATCAGTAGTTTCTATTTAAACAGATACTTGTTTATTTTTCCAAATTACTTGATTGAATGGAATAATTACATTTAGTAATGGAGGATGTTGGAATGTACGGTATCTTTATTCCCACATCTTGAGAGAAGCTTCTTGTCAAGATCCCCTAATTAGAAATGTCATTATTTTAACACTACTCCGTATGTCAGTTTTGTGTTTTATTTTTAAATGTCTGGATAGAAGTCTGTAGTCTCTTTCAGACACAATTCTATTTTTTTTTAATTACTGGAAAAGGTACCGCTGTATAAAAAGAAAATTCTGTCTGGGAAGAAGACTGTTCACAGAACGTTGCATACTTTCAGGAAGAAATTCGACTTATATTATAAGAAAAATAGATTGACAAATATATGTTGGACACTAACATGTTCTGGCAGCAAAATTGGTATTGAAGATCAGCAAAGTAAACCTGTAGAACAACTGTAAAGTTGACACAAGACTGGTCAGTCAATGTAATAGAGTAGCTAATGCATCATTGGCTATTCTGCTATACATGAACAGACAGTATTTGGCCAATGTTCTCTAACCTGTTGGCCTCTAATGTATGAGATTACAGCTCCTAGAATTCCCAAACAAGATGGTGAATAGAGTAAGTATTACTCTTCCATTTCCACTGAATTATGTGTTCAGATTACAGAATAGGACATAATCATAACATCCTCTTCTTGAGTTAATCAATGTGAACAGCTACTTTAATTTTTAAATGCATGTTTTACTTCGGAATTTACTGAGATTTCTTTGGTGTATGTGGTCTGTGTGTGGAATGAGGGAAAGGATGATTTACTTACTTACCCCTTAGAGATCTAAGGTTTTGTAAAACAAAACAAAACAAAACAAACAAACAAACAAAACCCTTCAGTCTTACAACCTAAGCGAAAGATGACCCTGTGCATATAGTTATGTATACTGATTTTCCTCACAGAGCATTCTATCTGTGATTGTGGACAACAGACCGAAAATAGAAATTTGACAGATGCCTGTGCCGCCGCCGCCTCCTCCTCCTCTCCCACCCCCTTTTTCTGGAGGACCACCACCTCCACCTCCTCCACCTCCTCCTCCACCTTCTTCTGGAGGTCCTCCACCGCTAACTTCCCCTACTTCTTTTTCATCATCATCTGGAGATCATCCTCCACCACCACCACCACCACCTTCATTTCCTCTGGTAAGTTTTTTTTCCCCAGTTTGGTTAGACTGTAAAGAGTGTTACTCATATTTGCCTTCTGTAGGTGGCAGCACCTAACTAATTTTAGCTGATCTTGAAAAAAACTTAAGCAGTGTCAGACCTGGTTAGTATTTAGGTGGGAGGTCACTGGGATATTCTGGGGTTTTAAGGTAAATCCAAAATTGAAAAAACATCATGGAAGTTGAGCTTGATTTGTTGAAAACTTTACTATTATACTACTGTACATTTAAACATGTAGTTTAAGGCTGCATAACATGAAACTAATGCTAGCTATCAAATCTAAAATGCTGGATCTAAAATGCTTTGTCAATTGCTGCATTTTAAATACTTTTTTTTAATATGAGAAAACAGTTTATTCTTGAAATTAGATACACAAATTCTTTAATTAAATGCTTATATTTTCTCCTTTCACTTATCATGCAATCCTTTTTATTTTCCATTATTTTCAGTTAATTTTAATTGTTTGGATTTGTTTTTTATAATTTTTTATTTACACAGTTCACATATTATGATTGCTGCATTCCATGTTGTGATAATGTAGTTGATAGTTCACCTTCTAATCTTGACTGTGTATGTTCATCAGTTTGACATAAGGTTGACAGTCAAGTGATGAATTTCATATGGGAATAATTTTCATAATCAAGCAATACAGACAGCATGGGCTCCAGGCCCCTGCTTTGGCTGTTTGAAATAGTCCGCATAAGAGAACCAGGGTATAAAAAGAAGTTAACATTGCATAAATGTACATCCAGCAACTGTTTTATGAATGGCTACTATCTATAGATCATTATCCCTTACTGTACCTCTACACTTACCCCCTGACCTGTCCGTTTACTGTCTCACAATCGTGTGTACATAATAATACTCCACGCATTTGATGAAAGATGCCATTAATTCAGTCTACTTTTAGCTTATCTTTTTTCTAGATAAAAATGAGTATTATGATACTCCAAAGCTTGACAAACTTTGTCATTTAAGAAAATCTCCATATATTTATGTTTATGAGCTTTACACATAACATCTGGTCTTTCTAATACAGGTGTGAGAATAAAAGGTGTTTTTTTTGTTTGTTTTTTACTTTAGGGAAATTATAGAAAATATTTTTTATAAATTTATATAGTTTGGCTGGTTTTAAAAATAGTTTATCTTTAAAAATAGTTTATCTCATATTTTTCTCTTGGGTTTAAAATATTCTAATTTCACTGTAATATGTCTGGAAAAATACCATGAATCCTTGTTCATTTAGAGTAGGTATTCTGTTATTCAGTCTGATAACTATTACATAATCAGAAGATAGCTGATCTTCTTAAAGAGGTCCTGCAAGTAGATGGTTGTGGCAACTAAAATACTTGGTTGGAATATTCATTAATATTGTGCTGCATTGAATAATGGACTCTGTAGTCATGCTCTGACAAGATCAAAATAATTACTGTTTTTAAGAAAATATCACCAACTCTCATTTCTTTCCTTTTATGAAGAAAGATGTAAACAGGAATAAGAAACATGCAAGTAAGCTCATTTTATTTTATTTTATTCCAGATTGATATCAGGTCAGTAAATGGATAGATATCAGCCTGGGAAAAAGTTGCATTAAGTTCTGAGATCAATGATCAGGGATGATGCTTGCCAGGCCAGAAGGCAGGAATCTGGTCTAAAATGTGCCAAACTTGAATATCAAGGCAGTAATCAAAGGAAAGAGATCCAGTGAAAGCAAAATAAGGATTTAAATTAGCAGTATAATGGTCATGTGCAGAAAACCATCTTGGGTTTAAAATCATCCTCTATTTGGACTGTAGTTGGGCTTTAATATAGCTTAAAGATAAAAAAGCCATCAGAAGGGAGGTCAAGGTATTGACATGGCTCCTGGACCAATGACTGAATGGATGTTTGGATCATCTGGTCAAAGTCTTCCCCAGGAAAAGAGTGAGTGTAGGTAACAGGTGCTTAGTCAGAGCCCTACACAGGATAGCTTAAACTAAGGATCCATCTCTGAGTATAGATCTTGATGGATGAAAACCAGTTCTTCAGTTGACTCCTCTGGCTGCTTAGTATTTAACCCTCCATGCCCCCAAAGGTATGAAGCTTAGCCTGCTGGCGGAAAATGTATGAATAGTGTTCATGCTTGAGAGGTCATCAGAATCTGACCTCTGGGGACCCACTTGGAAATCTTTACAATACATTTTAATGCAAGAGTTTTCCAGATAGGATTTTCTGCAAATTGAGAACTTAACAGGACTGAATTAAAGGACTGACCCAGTATGTTAATTAGCTAAAGAGCTATTCAAATCAATGTTTGCACTCCATTAATCTGTGAGAATGAAAGACGTGCTTCCGTGCCTTTCTCACTTACTTGTAGATTCCATCAAATGTATTCCCAAAGCAGGAATGCCTTTCTGTTTCATTGTTTTATTAACTGCCAAGAATAAGAATGTGAAAAGCAATATGCAGCCAAATTTGTAGTTGAATTTCTGAATGAATGTGCCAATCAAAAAAAAAAACTCAGGTGAAGAATCCAGTGAGAAAAATAGTGTGTGTGTGTGTGTGTGTGTGTGTGTAAGACCAAAAAGATACCCCCCTCGAAGTGGACTGTTTCATATAGTCATATATTGCTCTGTGATTTTCAGAGGTGTCTAAAGTTAACTTTAGTAGTTGCATTTTGTCATCTCAGATCAGACAGTTGGCAAAAATGCACCAGCAGAAGTGAGAACTGTGTAGGTGAAGAACAGACACAAGTTCAACTGTTGACATAGTTGGTCTGCCTACACCATACAGTACAACACATGATCTTTAAAAATTAAAGTAAATTAGTTCATGGGTTGCATCTACAAAGCCTGAAGTTAATCACTTCAAAGTTAAGAGATGATTATTATATTCCTTCTCTGACATTCCTCCAAAATGGATTAATTATATAGGTGACATTATTGGGAAATGTGTTAATACTTCCCATAACCCTCAGCCTTCCCAACTTGGTACCCTCCAGATAAATTGGACTTCAACTTCTATTTTTAGGACTGACTAGGAATGATGAGGGGTGCAGTCCAGTACATCTAAAGGATTGGTATAAGCTGATTGAGATCATCTGGTATCTTTTCCAGTACATTGAGAGTTATTTCCTGGGAATTCTGTTCTGTATGGCTCTTTGTGTAGAAGTAAGGTCAGATGCTTCTGCTTGAGTGTGTGGAAAAAGGTCACACAATATAACCACCCACCTCCAACAGATTTTAAACAAAGCGTATGATGTTTTGTGTCTTTTTAAATTGGTCACAGTCTCAGAAGACAGAGACCAGGAGAAACCTCTTCCCTAATCTAGAGTTCCCAAGTCATCAAGAGATTGGTAATGGGGTGACACTCACCCTTCCATGCTGTATTGAAGTTGTGAAAGGCATTTTTTATATTTTATTTGGTTGATTTCTAAGGCTGCCTAATCACTAAGGTGTGTGATATCCCAAGGAAGATAGATAAATGCTTCCTTTTTTCTACCATGATGTATTTTTCTTCTGTTCTCTTCCATTTGAGATTGGCAAAACTCAGTTTTTATAGACTTTGTATGGGGTTGATGGTTTAGCTCAGAAATAAATTTTATGTCTTGTAAACATTCAGAGATATATTTTTAATGTTTAATCTGCTTTCATAGTAGGGGTGGAAAGAGAGTATGAATTGATGCTGCCCTTTGTAAACAGAATTAACTATTAAATTGATAATAATAAATAAAAGATAGAAACTAACTGTAGAATTAGAACTCCAATGTGGGATGTGCTAATCAATAGTATCCTGGTCCATTTTATTATGTGCATTAGCACAGCAATGCTCCAGTCTAGTGTGTTTGTTTTAATTACTTCATTTCTTAAAAAAGCAATTATTCTTTTACAACTTTCCCTAACAAATGGCACTTTTATACATAACTTCCAGTAAAGTATATAGTTATAAACGTAATTTCCCCAAGTTACTTTGTTTTTTATACAAATTTTCATGGTATAATTTTTCTTTACATGTATTTCTACAATGCAGGCTTTTAAAAATTTAAAGAAATTTATACTCACTAATGTAAATTATAAACAAGGACCAAAATAATTAAAATCTACTCCATCCAAAGTTGACACTACATCACCAGATCGCTTTCTATAGCCATCCAGAAGTTTGCAAGGCCCAACTGTAATTCAATCCTATAAGCACTGCCTAATCTTCCCTAATATTTGTATGGAGTTTTTAGAGATGGATAAATCTAGTGGTGATTGGCTGGTGTGGGTCTTCCGGGCTGTGTGGCCGTGTTCTTGAAGTTTTGTTTCC